GCCTGTATGAAGTTAGCCCCCCACTTTTCGAATTTATTAATTTTGACAGTTGTGCTGATTTGTGCTAGGTTTGTGCTACATTGTGCTCGAATTATAAATTTTTAATACGAAAAATGAGTGAGAAAAATGGAAAAAACCGTTTTTTTTAGTAGCCCCCCCACTTTTTGATTTTCGAAATTTTTTTTATTATGCTAGGTTGTGCTAAGTTGTGCTAACATTGTGCTAAAGTATTATCTTCGAAAAATAATCATAAAAGGAATAAAACGAAAAAAACGATTTTAGGCAGAAAAGAAGAAAAGTAAGATTTATATTCGTATAAGTCAACCATACAATATATAATTATATATCTGAGTTGCTCTAGGCTAGCACAAGTCAGCACGAGCTTCAGTTTCGCGAACACTAGAATTTAAAGGGCACTTTACTCTTGACCACGGTTCTTCGCGCTCGCAGTCTACGTCATTAATCATGCAATTCTAAGTCGATCCAAAGCCTAGAAGTCGTGATTAATGACATGGACTGCGAGCGCGAAGGGCCGCGGTCAAGAGTAAAGTGCCCTTTAAATTCTAGTGTTCGCGAAACTGAAGCTTGTGCTGACTTGTGCTAGCCTAGAGCAACTCAGATATATAATTATATATTGTTTGGTTGACTTATACGAATATAAATCTTACTTTTCTTCTTTTCTGCCTAAAATCGTTTTTTTCGTTTTATTCCTTTCATGATTATTTTTCGAAGATAATACTTTAGCACAATGTTAGCACAACTTAGCACAACCTAGCATAATAAAAAAAATTTCGAAAATCAAAAAGTGGGGGGCTACCAAAAAAACGGTTTTTTCCATTTTTCTCGCTCATTTTTCGTATTAAAAATTTATAATTCGAGCACAATGTAGCACAAACCTAGCACAAATCAGCACAACTGTCAAAATTAATAAATTCGAAAAGTGGGGGGCTAACTTCATACAGGCGAAATGTTCAGGTTTTTATTTAGAGTTAGATTCAAATTTTTCAGATGAATTATATGATATGGTATAATGTGACATTTGTATCTGTAATTGCAATTCAATTAAAAAGCTCTCATGTAACTCTGAATTCCACTTGAACTTTGAACTTAATTCTGAGTATTTTACTTAAGGCGAGTTTCAGATAATGTCTATTAATACGGACTCAAGTGACAGTATAAAGTATATATTTTCGCGTTTTAGTTTTTAACCTGCCTTTTGTTTCTCTTATTTTATTCTCTCTTCGAGCCGTTTTCACGCTCAAAATAAAATATGAGATTTCTACTTTCCTCTTAGCAACTATAATTCGCACTCCGCAGTTTCCGCTTTTTATAACCGAACATAATTGGACGTGAAATTAACGATTACACGTAAGTACAGTGCATTAATCAAGCAGAAGATTAATCAAGCGATAATTTGATTGATTAATTATCTCTTGGGAAATATTCAAGCGACCTCAGAGCGAAACATTTCCCTTAGTGAGGTTTTTAATAACTCGTTTTTCAACGAGAAATTGAGCACGTTGAGAACATTTAAAAAGATTGTTCGATACGTCTTTTTACAACGTAGTTTGCACACGTTACGCAATGATACAACGATCCGCAATACTTCCAAGAGGCGCTTTTCTCGTTTCCCCACTCTTCTGCTCGTGCTTGATAAGATTCGCGTTGATGAACGCATACATGTCTATATTTGTAACATCCTATGCCGCGAGCGACCATTCATTGTCGGACGTGCAAGTCACGATGGAGTTATCGTTATTATCGTCGCCTTTTGTGCTTTTGTTGATCACTCTGGTCACTATCGGCGTAATAAAAGTCATCGCCAAGATACACTATCAATACACCTACTGGAGGAAACGGGGTGTCCCTTACATACGTACTATCCCGGGCTGGAGAATCTCTTGGAAAGTGTTTTTCCAACGCATAAATTTCGCCGAATACTGCAAATTTATCTACAATTATGAACCGGACGCCAAGTACCTCGGACTAATGGATATGTCCACTCCTCTGGTTCTTATACGCGATCCCGAGCTGATCAAGGACATTATGGTGAAGGACTTCGAACATTTTCCGGACCACCGCACCTTTGCGAGTGAGGACATTGATCCATTGTTCGGTAAGAACATCTTTTCCTTGCGCGGTAACCGCTGGAAAGAAATGAGGAACACATTGAGCCCCTCTTTCACCGCCAGCAAAATGAAAGCTATGTTTGAGCTGGTATCGAAGTGTTCCCGCGAATTCTCCGAGTACCTGGCCGATCATCCAGAGGAGTGTTCTTCCGTCGACACAAAGGAGATCTTCAGGCGCTACACCACTGACGTAATCGCCACGTCGGCCTTCGGCATAAGCGTGAATTCCTTGAAGGATCGGAACAACGAGTTCTTCACGAGAGGAATGGAGTTCACCAACTTCGCCAGCATCAGGACCATGTTGAAGTTCTTGCTATTCCGCATGAGTCCGCGACTAACGAAGGCGCTGGGTATCAACCTCTTCTCGCCGGCTACGTCGCAATTCTTCAAAAAAGTCGTGGCAGAGACGATTAAAACCCGAGAAGAGCAAGGCATCATCAGGCCTGATATGATTCACTTGTTGATGCAAGCCCGCAATAAAGAAAGTTCCAGCGTGCACGAGATGACATTGGACGACATCGTCGCGCAGGCGTTTATCTTCTTCTTGGCCGGCTTTAGCACGTCCGCGACGTTGATGTGCTTCGTCGCCCATGAACTCGCGGTTAACCGGGACATTCAGGACCGCCTGTGGAAGGAAGTCGAGAAGCATTTCGCCGAAGGCAAAGGTGAGATCTCCTACGAGTCAGTATCGAAGATGGTTTATATGGACATGGTAGTATCCGAGACCCTCCGCAAGTATCCACCGGTGATCTTCATCGACAGGCTCTGCGTGAAAAGCTATGAGCTGCCTCCACCAAAGCCTGGTGGCAAGAACTTGAACGTGGAGCATAACAGCATGATGATGGCGCCCGTTTACGCGTTGCATCATGACCCCAAATACTTCCCGAATCCGGACAAGTTCGATCCCGAGAGGTTTAGCGACGAGAACATAGATAATATCGTGCCCTACACTTATATGCCCTTCGGTCACGGACCCAGGAAGTGCATCGGCAATCGTTTCGCTCTGATGGAGACGAAACTTCTGATAGCTCATCTTCTACACAAATTCATCTTCAAAGCTACGGAAAAGACCATTTATCCTGTCGTATTTGATAAAAAGCAGTTTGATTTGCACCCCGAAGGCGGATTCTGGATCGCATTGGAGAAGAGGGAGAAGTAAAACGAGACGTTGCATTTAGGAATGGCTTATTCTACAATATTGTAAATGTAAAGCTGTTCGATAGTCAAGATATAAATTGAAATGGAAATGAAAATTTCACAGAATGTCGAGGCTATGATAGTTTTTAAGTCAGAAACGTTTCAAGAGAGTGGATATATCACTGAGCTGAAAGTTTGCGCGCTCATACAATATACAATATACAATAGTTTAAGTGCCATCGTAGATTCCAATTCATAACAGTAAAAATATTTTTACATTGGAATCGCTATAAGTGATCGGATTATATTTATATGCGAATAATTAATATATCCCATTGATATAAATAATGATATGCATATGAAAATAGAATAGAATATTGAGTGCGATATCTGGGAGCTTGGTGAAGCTGCGACAAGTTGATTGACTTTGTTCGTGTTGTAAAGATGTTGTCATGCGACAGCTTCATGTGATATTTATGACAGTTCTTTAGACATCGCACTCAATATTCTGCATTATTTTTACATGCGTATTATTATTTGTATATACATGATACTGTTTCATATATTTGGATATAGTGGTTCTTTTCTATAGAAGTGGAATGGTGTGGTGATTTCTCAAAAATATTTCTTTATTCATTATTTATTTACTATATATTAATTCAATTTAATCTGGATCAACACTGGGAAAATAATTATGTTATAACAAATTCGGATGTGCTTCTACTCTGATCTCAGAGCATGATAGCCAGTCATAATATGTATGTACATGAGTCATCATTAGAATGCAAAAATTATTGAGACTTATCGATGAATCTTTATCTATTTAGTGAGTCATTGAAAAACATTTACTTTCGCACGACACGATTTAGCAAGCTCGCTATAAAGTCTTATAAATTTTAATAATAATAATTTTACTATACATATCATATATAAAGAAGACGCGTTTAAAAGAAAAAGAATATTAGGAAAAACACATTCAAAATTGCACGATGCGGAATTATTGTATTAGAAAAATATTTATGCTAATTCACAGTTTCTGATGTAAATTTTGAAATATTTTTGTTTTCATCATGTAATGAGCAATGCTTTAATTAATTTTTGCACATATTTTTATTGTATAAAAGCATCTTGGAATTTTACATTTTATAACCAATACAACATAAACTTTTCAGAAAAAGTATTTTTATATACTGTATATATTTTTAAACTATATGTTAAAATAAAGTTCTTAAATATGTGTGTGGCATTCTCTTATGAGTTCTTAATCTGAAACTTGTCCCATATATTCAGGTTTTTATTCAGAGTTAGATTTAAATTTTTCAGATGAATTATATGATATGATATAATGTGACATTTGTATCTGTAATTGGGATTCAACTGAAAAGCTCTCATTTAATTCTGAACTCCACTTGAACTTTGAACTTAATTTTGAGTATCTTAAAGTGAGTTTCAAATAATAACTATTAATGCGGACTCAAGTGAGAATACAAAATATATTTTCGCGTCTCAGTTTTATCAATCTGCCTTTTATTTCTTTCATTATATTTTCTTCGCGCCGTTTTTACGCTCTAAATAAAATGTGTTTTTCACTTTACATCTTAGCAATTATAATTCGCACTTCGCAGTTTCCGCTCTTCATAACCAGATATAATTGAACGTGAAATTAACGATTACACGTGAGATACAAGACATTAATCAACCAGAAGATTAATCAAACGATAAATCGATTGATTAATTATCTACCGGAAAATATCCAAGCGACCTCAAAGCGAAACATTTCCCTCAGTGACGTATTTAATAATTCACTTTTCAGGGACAAATTAAGCGCGTTGAGAATGATATGTTTAAGAGGATTATTGTGATACGACTTTTTAACACGTAATTCATGTTACTGATGTAACAGTCCGCAATGTTTCCGAGAGGCGCTTCTCTCGTTCTCCCCCATTCTGCTCGTATCTGATAAGATTCGTGTTGGTGAACGCGTACAAGTCTATATTTATAACATTCTATGCCGCGGGCGACCGAATCAGTCGCTCTCGGACGTGCCAGTCACGATGGAGTCGTTGCTATTCTCGTCACCTTTTGCGCTTTTGTTGATCACTCTGATCAGTATCGGCGTGATAAAAGTTATCGCCAATGTGCACTATCAGTACACCTACTGGAAGAAACGAGGGGTCCCTTACATACGTGCTATCCCGATCTTAGGAACTTCTTGGAAAGTGCTCTTGCGACTTACGAGCTTCAACGAATACAGCAAATTCGCCTACGAATATTTACCGGATGCCAAGTATATCGGACTAATGGACATGGCCACTCCTCTGATTTTAATCCGCGACCCCGAGGTGATCAGGGACGTCATGGTAAAGGACTTTGAACATTTTCCGGACCACCGTAGCTTCGCGAATGAGGACATCGATCCGTTGTTCGGTAAGAACGTCTTCTCCTTGCGCGGTAACCGCTGGAAAGAGATGAGGAACACGTTGAGCCCCTCTTTCACCGCCAGCAAGATGAAAGCCATGTTCGAGCTGGTGTCGAAGTGTTCCCGCGAATTTTCTGAGTACCTCGCCGATCATCCGGAGGATTGTTCTTCCATCGAGACGAAGGAGATCTTCAGGCGCTACACTACTGACGTAATCGCCACGTCGGCCTTCGGCATAAACGTGAATTCCATGAAGGATCGGGACAACGAGTTCTTCACGAGAGGAGTGGATTCCACTCGGCAATTCGGCGGCTTCTTGTTCCTGTTGAAGTTTATCCTATTCCGCATGAGTCCGCGACTAATGAAGGCGCTGGGAATGAACTTCTTCTCGCCGGCTACTTCGCAATTCTTCAAGAAAATCGTGGCGGAGACGATTAAAATCCGAGAAGAGCAAGGCATCATCAGGCCTGATATGATTCACTTGTTGATGCAAGCCCGAAATAAGGAGGGCCTCAGCGTGCACGAGATGACATTGGATGACATCGTCTCGCAGGCGTTCATCTTCTTCTTGGCCGGCTTTGACACGTCCGCGTTGCTGATGTGCTTCATTGCCCATGAACTCGCGGTTAACCGGGACATTCAGGACCGCCTGTATGAGGAAGTCGAGAAGCATTTCGCCGAAGGCAACGGCGAGATTTCCTACGAGTTAGTGTCGAAGATGGTTTACATGGACATGGTGGTGTCCGAAACCCTCCGCAAATATCCGCCGGTAGCTGTGACCGACAGGCTCTGCGTGAAGAGTTGCCAGCTGCCTCCGTCGAAACCCGGTTGCAAGAGCTTAATCGTGGAGCCCAACAACATTTTATGGGCGCCCATTTACGCGTTGCACCATGACCCCAAATATTTTCCGAACCCGGACAAGTTCGATCCCGAGAGGTTCAGCGACGAGAACAAGGACAATATCGTGCCCTACACTTATATGCCTTTCGGCCTTGGACCCAGAAAGTGTATCGGCAATCGTTTCGCTCTGATGGAAACGAAACTCCTGATAGCTTATCTCCTGCACAAATTCGTCTTCAAGGCCACCGAGAAGACCATTTATCCTGTTGTATTTGATAAAAAGCAGTTCAATTTGCAACCCGAAGGCGGATTCTGGATCGCGTTGGAGAAGAGGGAGAAGTAAAATGAGGCATCACGTTAGATAGTTTAGGAATGGCTTATTCTATAATATAGTAGATGTTCAGTTGTTCGATGGTCAGGATATACAGGGTGTATTAGTTCTCGCGACATTAATTAATATGTATACTCGAACTTAAATGGAGATGAAAATTCCATAGAATGTCGTGGTTATGATAGTTTTTAAATATGAAACGTTTCAAGAGAGTGGACATATCACAGAGCTCGCGCGCTCTCGCATGGTACAATATACAATGATTTAAGTGTCATCATAGATTCTAATTTACAACAATAAAAACATTTTTGCATTAGAATCGCCATAAGTAATCGGATCATATTTATTTGCAAATAATTAATATATCCCATTCGTATTAATAATAATACGCATATAGAAATGGTACTTAATATTGAGTGCGATGTCTGGGATCTCGGTGAATGTGTGATAAGTTGATTGACTTCGCTCATGTTGTAAAGATAGTGTCATGCGGCAGCTTTATGTGATACTTATGACATCGCACTCAATATTTTGCATTAATTTTACACGCGTATTATTATTTACACGTATATCATACTGTTTCGTATACTTGGATGAAGTGGTTCTTTTCTATAGAAGTAGAAAGGTGTCGTGATTTCTCAAAAATATTTCTTTATTCATTACTTATTTACTATTTATTAATTTAATTTATTCTGGATCAACACTTAAAAAATAATTATGTTATAACAAATTCGGATGTGTTTCTACTCGGATCTCGGAGCATGATAGCCACTCATAATAAGAAAGGAAGGTTGAAATCGATATTTTGTTTCCGTAATGAAGAGCTTGTACTTAGAATAATGTAATTAATTTGATAGGCTTATAAGAATATAAGTAGAGAACTACTTAAATAACTGTAATAATTTAGTCTGTTTATTCACAACACTTCTGACTTGCTGTCCATTTGGTAACAAGCCTAAAAGAGTGAAACTCTTTTCTAAATACGTAATGAGCACACAATGGACGGAACTACCTTCCAACTACGTAGCCAGGACACGGCAAGCGGGAAAAACTGCCTTCACAATCGGATGTCACTCTAGTGACATGTAGAGGTCTGTTCTTTGTAGTTGTACTGGGATTGCACTAGAACTGGACCAGTGTAAGCGAGGACAGGCCAGTGTTAGGGCGGAGTCCCATGGCACGTATTTTCGCGTAACTGCGTAACTAATCACATCTTTCTATTCTTTTAGAAACTCCAACAGAAATACTAAACGTCGAAATTTATTGGTTACGTGCTTATGCGATACGCGGAAAATACATGCCGTGGAACTTCAGCTTAAGAGTGTGGTGAGATACAAAGAATGATCTAGTGCAGAATAGTGAAATGGAGCGTGTGGTGTTAGAAGATTTATTACATTCTACGATATTTGTAGTCAGAGTTACAAAGAATTTTTAAGATATATATTTCACGGAACAATTATCTCAATTTTTTGATTGACACATTTTGCCTTTGAGTTTTACCTCCATTATTCAACTGTTTTGTAACGAATTCGGCTACGTAAAGTTAACACGATTTTACGAATATGTCGAAATTATTACGGGCTCGTTAGCTTGATTGCAATCAATCAGATTATAGAGCAGTACACATATCTTATTGTGATCTTTTTCACGCGAATTCTGGCGATAAGGTGTATCTAAAGTCGATAGATTTATCAGTGGCGATAATTGAACAAAGACTCTTCAACCAGAGTAATTTGAGTTTTTACAGGCTGTATGTACATGAGTCATCACTAGAATGCAACAATTATTGAGACTTATCGATGAATCTTTATCTACTTGGCTAGTCATTGAAAAACACTTACTTTCGCACGACACGATTTAGCAAGCTCGTGCGCTATAAAGTCTTATTAATTTTAATAATAATAATTTTACTATATATATCATATGTAAAGGAGACGTGTTTAAAAGAAAAAGAATATTAGGAAAAATACATTCAAAATTGCACAATGCGGAATTATTGTATCAGATAAATATTTATGCTAATTCATAGTTTCTGATATGAATTTTGAAATATTTTATCGTTTTCATCACACAATGAGCAATGTTTTAATTAATTTTTGCACATATTTTCATTATGTAAAAGCATCTTGTAACTCTACAATTTATAACCAATACAATGTAAACTTTTCAGAAAAATGTAAGTATTTGAATACTGTATTTTTAAATACTATATGTTAAAATAAAGTTCTTAAATATGGCATTCCCTTAAGAGTCCTCAATCTGAAACTTGTCCCATATGAAATGCTCAGTTTTTATTCCGAGTTAGATTCAAGTTTTTCAAATGAATTATATGATATGATATAATGTAACATTTATATCTGTAATTGCGATTCAACTGAAAAGCTCTCATTTAATTCTGAACTCCACTTAAACTTTGAACTTAATTCTGAATATCTTAAAGCGAGTTTCAAGTAATGACTATTAATGCGGACTCAATTGAGAGTACAAAGTATATTTTCGTGTCAGTTTTATCAATCTGCCTTTTGTTTTTTTCATTATATTTTTTTTGCGCCGTTTCTACGCTCTAAATAAAATGTGCTTTTCACATTACATCTTAGCAATTACAATTCGCACTTTGCAGTTTCCGCTTTTCATAACCAGATATAATTGGACGTGAAATTAACGATTATACACGTGAGTACAGGGCATCGAGCAGAAGATTAATCAAGCGATAAATCGATAAATTATCTCCTGGAAAATATCCAAGCGACCTCAAAGCGAAACATTTCCCTTAGTGAAGTTTTTAATAATTCACTTTTCAGCGAGAAATTGAGCACGTTGAGAATGGTACGTTTAAAAGGATTGTTGGATACGACTTTTTATCACGTAATTCACGTTACTGATGTAAAGGTCCGCAATGTTTCCGAGAGGCGCTTCTCTCGTCCACTCCCCCTCCCATTCTGCTCGTATCTGATAAGATTCGCGTTGGTGAACGCGTACAACTCTATATTTATAACATCCTATGTCGCGAGCGACCGAATCAGTCGTTCTCGGACGTACCAGTCACGATGGAGTCGTCGGTATTCTCGTCGCCTTTTGCTCTTTTGTTGATCACTCTGGTCAGTATCGGCGTGATAAAAGTCATAGCCAAAATGCACTATCTGCACATCTACTGGAAGAAACGAGGTGTCCCTTACATACGTGCTATCCCGGCTTTAGGAATTACTTGGAAAATGTTCTCGCGACGTATGAACTTGAGCGAATACATCAAATTCAACTACGAATATGCACCGGATGCCAAGTATATCGGACTAATGGACATGGCCACTCCTCTGGTTTTTATCCGCGACCCCGAGCTGATCAGGGACGTCATGGTGAAGGACTTCGAACATTTTACGGACCACCAGACCTTCGCGAATGAGGACATCGATCCGTTGTTCGGTAAGAACGTCTTCTCCTTGCGCGGTAACCGCTGGAAAGAGATGAGGAACACGTTGAGCCCCTCTTTTACTGCCAGCAAGATGAAAGTCATGTTCGAGCTGGTGTCGAAGTGTTCCCGCGAATTTTCCGAGTACCTCGCCGATCATCCGGAGGAGTGTTCTTCCGTCGATACGAAAGAGATCTTCAGACGCTACACTACTGACGTAATCGCCACGTCGGCCTTCGGCATAAATGTGAATTCCATGAAGGATCGGGACAACGAGTTCTTTACGAGAGGAGTGGATTCCACTCAGCTATTCAACAGCTTCTCGTTCATGTTGAAGTTTATGCTATTCCGCATGAGTCCGCGACTAATGAAGGCGCTGGGAATGAACTTCTTCCCGCCGGCTACTTCGCAATTTTTCAAGAAAATCGTGGCAGAGACGATTAAAACCCGAGAAGAGCAAGGCATTATCAGGCCGGATATGATTCACTTGTTGATGCAAGCCCGAAATAAGGAGAGCCTCAGTGTTCACGATATGACGTTGGATGACATCGTCTCACAGGCGTTCATCTTCTTCTTAGCCGGCTTTGACACGTCCTCACAGCTAATGTGCTTCATTGCCCATGAACTCGCGGTTAACAGGGACATTCAGGACCGCCTGTATGAGGAAGTCGAGAAGCATTTCGCCGAAGGCAACGGCGAGATTTCCTACGAGTTAGTGTCGAAAATGGTTTACATGGACATGGTGGTGTCCGAAACCCTTCGCAAGTATCCACCGGTAGTTATGATCGACAGGCTCTGTGTGAAGAGTTACGAGCTGCCTCCGCCGAATCCCGGTGGCAAGAGCTTGATCGTGGAGCCCAACAACGTTTTATGGGCGCCCGTTTATGCATTGCACTGTGATCCCAAATACTTCCCGAATCCGAACAAGTTCGATCCCGAGAGATTCAGCGATGAGAACAAGGACAATATCGTGCCCTATACTTATATGCCCTTCGGCCATGGACCCAGGAAGTGCATCGGCAATCGGTTCGCTCTGATGGAAACGAAACTCCTGATAGCTCATCTCCTGCACAAATTCGTCTTCAAGGCCACCGAGAAGACCATTTATCCTGTTGTATTTGATAAAAAGCAGTTTAATCTGCAACCTGAAGGCGGATTCTGGATCGCGTTGGAGAAGAGAGAGAAATAAAACGAGGCATCACGTTAGGTAGTTTAGGAATGGCTTATTCTATAATATAGTAGATGTTCAATTGTTCGATAGTCAGGATACACAAGGTGTATTAATTCTCGCGACATTAATTAATATGTATACTCGAATTTAAATGAAAATGAAAATTTCACAGAATGTCGAAGCTATGATAGTTTTTAAATATGAAACGTTTCAAGAGAGTGGACATATCACAAAGCTCACGCGCCCTCGCATGGTACAATGATTTAAGTGCCATCATAGATTCTAATTTATAACAATAAATATATTTTTGTATTAGAATCGCCATAAGTAATCGGATTATATTTATCTGAAAATAATTAATATATCCCATTTGTATTAATAATAATACGAATATAGAAATGGTACTGAATATTGAGTGCTGAATATTTGTTTGGAGAATATCAATCGTCAATTAGAAGAACAAGGGATTCTTCCTTAATTTGTGTAGAGAAATGATGCCACTAGAAGATGGCTTGTTACCGTTGCAAACATTCAGATTTACAGAGTTTCAAAAGTGTTCAACCTTTTGTCGTAGAAGTTGTAATCGGTTAGTGAAGTCATGAAGTAGGTTGGTCTGTGATATGAGGCTCGGTTGTAAGTGCCTTTCCAATGAGGAAATGTCTGGATATTAGCGCTGAATAGTCATCTCCGTCTTCAGAAAGCGGACATAAAGGCCGTGAGTTTAGGATGACTTCAATTTGAGTTAAAAGCGTAGGTAATTCCTCATATGTTAGAATAGAGTTGCCAGTGATACGACAAAGATAATATTTTGTCGATTTAACTGCAGCTCCCCACTTCCGTCCACAATGGGGCGCAGATGGGGGATTAAAATGCCATTTAGTTCCGAGGTTTGATAGTAAGGTAACTAGCTTCTTCAATTCTTTAGAGGCTGAATCAAATCGTCGTCGAAGTTTATCGTCGGCACGGACAAAGTTAGTTCCGCTATAGAATGATGCACAGATACCGCGGTGAGCGATGAATCTTTTGTATGCGAAAATAAACGCTTTTATTGTAAGTAATCGGTAACAATAACTAAATGCACAGCTAATGTGTGAAAACTCACAAAAATGGTGAGATATCCTTTATAAATTTTTGCTGCCCACCTTTGCCAAGTTTTTGTTCATATGGAGCTTACGTAGTCAACTCCGGTATGAAGAAAGGACTGAAGTGGAGTTATTTTTGATATCAGCAAATGTCCTATTAATTGTTGAGCTTGATTTCTACGATAGTGAGTGCAACGCAAAATGAAAGACTTTATTGGCACCTCCGATTATCTAATATATTTGAGAGGTATATACCAATGTCAATTGAGTTACACCGTGTAAAATCCTTGTATGATCCTTTCATTTACATAGAAAAAAATGACATGACTTTCTTGTCAACCTGCACCTTTGGCAAATAAGTAGCAAAATAAAAAGCGGTTAATGCGGTTCGCTCGACGTGATGAGCTCTGGATGACTGTAGTCAATATTTTTTATAGAAACATTAAATTTTATATAATTCCACTCGTGCAGGCAACTTGGCGTCTTGAACTTGGCGTCTTGAGTATCCTTTTTTGTAAATATAAAAAATGCGCGTTTCAGAGAAAAAGAATATTTTTAGAAAAAACACGTTTAAAATTGGATGAATTGTTGAATGCGGAATTAATTTCTCGCATAAGCTGTACATTGAGAGATTGTATCAGATAAATATTTACGCTAATTCACAATTTCTGATGTGAATTTTAAAATTTTGTATCGTTTTCATCACATAATGAGCAATGCTTTAATTAATTTTTGCACATATTTTCATTGCGTAAAAGCATTTTGTAACTCTGCATTTTATAACAAATACAACATAAAATTTCAGAAAAATGTCAATGTTTTTAAATACTTTATTTTTAAATATTATATGTTAAAATAAAGTTTTCAAATAAAGTATTCCTTTAAGAGTTCTCAATCTGAAATTTGTCTCATATGAGATGCTCAGGTTTTTATTCAGAGGTAGATCCAAATTTTTCAGGTGAACTATATGATATGATATGACATTTGTATCTGTAAACACGATTTAACTGAAAAGCTCTCAATTAACTCTGAACTCTATCTGAACTCAGTTCTGAGTATATCACTTAAGACGAGTTTCAAGCAATGACTACGGCCCCAAGAGACAATACAAAATATATTTTTGCGTCTCAATTATCAATTTGTTTCTTTCATTGCTTTTTATTCTCTCCGAACCGTCTTTATACTCAAAATAAAATATGGACTTTCCGCTTTATATCTTAGCAATTGTAACTCGCATTCCGCAGACTCCGTTTTCCATAACCGGACATAATTGGACGTGAAATGAAAGATTATACGTGAGTACAGGGCATTAATTAACCAGAAGATTAATCAAACGATAATTCGATTGATTTATTATCCTTCGGGAAATATCCAAGCGTCCTCAGAGTAAAACATTACCCTCAGTGAAGTTTTTAATAATTCGCTTTTCAGCGAGAAGTTGAGCGCGTTGAGAACGGTGTATTTAAAAGGATTGTTGGGTACGATATTTACCACTTAGTTTGCACACGTTGCTGATGCAACGGTCCGCAATGTATCCGAGAAGTGTTTCTGTCGTTCCCCCCATTCTACTCGTGCCTGATAAGATTTGCGTTGGTGAACGCGTATATGTCTATATTTATAACATCCTATACCGCGAGCGACCGAGCCATTCGTTCTTGGACGCGCCAGTCACGATGGAGTCGTCGTTATACTCGTCTTGTGCGCTTTTGTTGGCCACTCTGGTCACTATCGGCGTGCTAAAAGTCATTGCCAATATACACTATCAGTATACCTACTGGAAGAACCGGGATATTCCTTACATACGTAGTTTCTCGGGCTGGAGAATCACTTGGAAAATATTTTTCAAACGTATAAGTTTCGCCGAATACTTCAAATTTATCTACAATTATGTACCGGATGCCAAGTACATCGGACTAATGGACATGGCCACGCCTCTGGTTTTTTTGCGCGACCCCGAGCTGATCAAGGACGTCATGGTGAAGGACTTCGAACATTTTCCGGACCACCGCAGCTTTGCGAGTGAGGACATAATTCGCTTTTCAGCGAGAAATTGAACACGTTGAGAACAGCATGTTTAAAAGGATTGTTAGATACGACTTTTTACCACGCAGTTTGTACACGATGGTGATGCAACAGTCCGCAGTGTCTCCGAGAGGCGTTTCTGTCGTTCCCCCCCTTCTGCTCGTGCCTGATAAGATTCGCGTTGGTGGACGCGTACATATCTATATTTATAACATCCTATACCGCGAGCGACCGAGTCATTCGTTCTCGGTCGTGCCGATCAGTCACGATGGAGTCGTCGTTATTCTTGTCGTCTTTTGCGCTTTTGTTGGCCACTCTCGTCATTATCGGCGTGGTAAAAGTCATCGCCAATATACACTATCAGTACACCTACTGGAAGAAACGGGGTATCCCTTACATACGTACACTCCCGGGCTTGGGGACCTCTTGGAAAGTGTTCTTGCGACGCATGAGCTTCGTCGAATACAGCATATCCGCCTATGAATATGTACCGGACGCTAAGTACATCGGACTAATGGACATGGCCACTCCTCTGGTTTTATTGCGCGACCCTGAGCTGATCAGGGACGTAATGGTGAAGGACTTCGAACATTTTCCGGACCACCGCACTATAGCGAGTGAGGACATCGATCCGTTGTTTGGTAAGAACGTCTTCGCCTTGCGTGGTGACCGCTGGAAAGAGATGAGAAACACGTTGAGTCCCTCTTTCACCGCCAGTAAGATGAAAGCTATGTTTGAGCTGGTGTCGAAGTGTTCCCGCGAATTTTCGGAGTATCTGGCCGATCATCCGGAAGAATGTTCTTCCATTGACACGAAGGAGATCTTCAGGCGCTACACCACTGACGTAATCGCCACGTCTGCCTTCGGTATAAGCGTGAATTCCATGAAGGATCGGGACAACGAGTTCTTCACGAGAGGAGTGGCGTCCACCAAGTTCAGCAGCTTCTCGTTCCTGTTGAAGTTCATGCTATACCGCACGATTCCGCGACTAACAAAGGCGCTGGGAATAGACTTCTTCCCGCCAGCTACATCGCAATTCTTCAAGAGAATCGTGGCGGAGACGATTAAAGTCCGAGAAGAGCAAGGCATCGTCAGGCCGGATATGATTCAGTTGTTGATGCAAGCCCGCAGTAAGGAGGGCCCCAGCGTGCAAGAGATGACATTGGATGACATCGTCTCGCAAGCGTTCATCTTCTTCATAGCCGGCTTTGAAACGTCCTCACAGCTGATGTGCTTCGTCGGCCATGAACTCGCGGTTAACCGGGACATTCAGGACCGCCTATGGGAGGAAGTCGAGAAGCATTTCGCTGAAGGCAACGGCGAGATCTCCTACGAGTCAGTGTCGAAGATGGTTTACATGGACATGGTAGTGTCCGAGACCCTCCGCAAGTATCCACCGGTGATCTTTATCGACAGGGTTTGCGTAAAGAGCTACGAGCTGCCTCCACTGAAGCCCGGTGGCAAGAGCTTGATTGTGGAGCCCGACAACATGATATGGGCCCCCGTTTACGCGTTGCACCTTGACCCCAAATATTTTCCGAACCCGGACAAGTTCGATCCCGAGAGGTTCAGCGACGAGAACAAGGACAATATCGTGCCCTACACTTATATGCCATTTGGCCATGGACCCAGGAAGTGCATCGGCAATCGTTTTGCTCTGATGGAAACGAAACTCCTGATAGCTCATCTCCTGCACAAATTCGTCTTCAAGGCCACCGAGAAGACAATTTATCCTGTTGTATTTGATAAAAATCAGATCAATTTGCAACCCAAAGGCGGATTCTGGATCGCATTGGAGAAGAGGGTGTAGTAAACGAGATGTTCAGTTTAGGAATGACTTCTACAATATGGTAGATGTTCAGCTGTTTGATAGACAGGATATACAGTGTGTCCCAGTACTCGTGACATTAATTAATATGTGTATTCGAACTTAAATGGAGATGAAAAATCTACAGAATGTTAAAACTATTATAGTTTTTAAATATGAAACGTTTCCAGAGAATGGACATAGTACAGAGCTCGCGCGCTCTCGTACGGTACAATATACAATGATTTAAGTGCCATCATAAATTCTAATTTATAACAACAAAAATATTTTTGCATTAGTATCGCGATAAGTAATCTGATTATATTTATCTGCAAATAATATATCCCATTCGTATTAATAATAATACGCATATAGAAATGGTACTGAATATTGAGTGCGATGTCTGGGAGCTCGGTGAAAGTGTGATAAGTTGATTGACTTCGCTCATATTGTAAGGATGGTATCATGCGGCAGCTTTATGTGATACTTATGACATCGCACTCAATATTCTCCATTAATTTTACATTAATTTAATTATTATTATTATTTATACATATATGATACTGTTTCGTATACTTGGATAAAGTGGTTCTTTTTTGTAGGAGTGGACGATAAAAAATGCAATGATTTTTCAGACATATTTCTTTATTTCTTATTTATTTATATACTGTATATTAATTTAATTTAATCTGGATCAACACTTGGGATATAAGTATATTATAACAGTTTTAAAATAAAAGCAGGTTAATAAGATTCGCTCGACGTGATGAGCTCTGGATAACTGTAGACAATATTTTTTATATGAACATTAAATTTTATATAATTCCACTCGTGCAGGCAAGCGCGTGAACTTGGCGTCTTAAGTATATTTTTTTTGTAAATATAAAAGACGCGCGTTTAAACGAAAAAGAACAGGTTTAGAAAAAATACGTTTAAAATTGCATGAATAGTTCAATGCGAAGTTCATTTTTCACATTAGCTGTACATTTAGAGATTGTATGAGATAAATATTTACGCTAGTTCACAATTTTTGATGTGAATTTTAAAATTTTTTATTGTTTTCATCACATAATGAGCAATGCTTTAATTAATTTTTGCACATATTTTCATTGCGTAAAAGCATTTTGTAACTCTGCATTTTATAGCAAATACATCATATAATTTCAGAAAAATGTCAGTGTTTTTAAATACTGTATTTTTAAATATTATATGTTAAAATAAAGTTTTTAAATAAGGTATTCCTTTAAGAGTCCTCAATCTGAAATTTGTCTCATATGAGATGCTCAGGTTTTTCTTTAGAGTTAGATCCAAGTATTTCAGGTAAACTATATGACATGATATGATATGACATTTATAACTGTAAACATGATTTTATTGAAAAGCTCTCAGTCAACTCTAAAGTCTGAACTCTGAGTTCTGAGTATATCACTTAAAGCGAGTTTCAAGCAATGACTACGGAGCCAAGAGACAGTACAAAGTATATTTTTGCGTCTCAGTTATCAATCTGCCTTTTGTTTCTTTCATTATCTTTTATTCTCACTGAGCCGTTTTTACGCACAAAATAAAATGTGCGCTTTCCGCTTTACATCTTAGCAATTGTAACTCGCACTCCGCAGTTTCCGTTGTAATAACCGGACATAATTGGACGTGAAATTAACTATAATACGTGAGGGCATTCATTAAGCATAAGATTAATCAAACGATAATTCGATTGATTAATTATCAGAAAATATCCAAGCGTCCTCAGAGTAAAACATTTCCCTCAGTGAGGTTTTTAATATTTCGCTTTTCAGCGAGAAGTTGAGCGCGTTGAGAACGGCATGTTTAAAAGGATTGTTGGATACTACTTTTTACCACGCAGTTCACACACGTTGGTGATGCAACGGTCCGCAGTGTTTCCGAGAAGTGTTTCTGCCGTTTCCCCCCGTTCTGCTCGATGCCTGATAAGATTCGTGTTGGTGAACGCTTACATGTCTGTATTTATAACATCCTATATTGCGAGCGATCGAGTCATTCGTTCTCAGTCGTGCCGATCAGTCACGATGGAGTCGTCGTTATTCTCGTCATCTTTTGCGCTTTTGTTGGCCACTCTGGTCACTATCGGTGTGCTAAAAGTCATCGCCAATATTCACTATCAGTACACCTACTGGAAGAAACGGGGTATCCCTTACATACCTACAGTCCCGGGCTTGGGAACCTCTTGGAAAGTGTTCTTGGGACGCATGAGCTTCGCCGAATACAGCAAATTCGCTTACGAATATGTACCGGACGCCAAGTACATCGGACTAATGGACATGACCACTCCTCTGGTTTTTTTACGCGACCCCGAGCTGATCAGGGACGTCATGGTGAAAGACTTTGAACATTTTCCGGACCACCGTAGCTTCGCGAGTGAGGATATCGATCCGTTGTTTGCTAAGAACGTCTTCTTCTTGCGCGGTAACCGCTGGAAAGAGATGAGGAACACGTTGAGCCCCTCTTTCACTGCCAGTAAGATGAAAGCTATGTTTGAGCTGGTATCGAAGTGTTCCCGCGAATTTTCCGAGTATCTGGCCGATCATCCGGAAGAATGTTCTTCCATTGACACGAAGGAGATCTTCAGGCGCTACACCACTGACGTAATCGCCACGTCTGCCTTCGGTATAAGCGTGAATTCCATGAAGGATCGGGACAACGAGTTCTTCACGAGAGGAGTGGCGTCCACCAAGTTCAGCGGCTTCTCGTTCCTGTTGAAGTTCATGCTATTCCGCGCGATTCCGCGACTAACAAAGTCGCTGGGTATAAACTTCTTCCCTCCAGCTACATCGCAATTCTTCAAGAGAATCGTGGCTGAGACGATTAAAGTTCGGGAAGAGCAAGGCATCGTCAGGCCGGATATGATTCAATTGTTGATGCAAGCCCGCAATAAGGAGGGCCCCAGCGTGCACGAGATGACATTGGATGACATCGTCGCGCAGGCGTTCATCTTCTTCTTGGCCGGCTTTGACACGTCCTCACAGCTGATGTGCTTCATCGGCCATGAACTCGCGGTTAACCGGGACATTCAGGACCGCTTATGGGAGGAAGTCGAGAAGCATTTCGCTGAAGGCAACGGCGAGATCTCCTACGAGTCAGTGTCGAAGATGGTTTACATGGACATGGTAGTGTCCGAGACCCTCCGCAAGTATCCACCGGTGATCTTTATCGACAGGGTTTGCGTAAAGAGCTACGAGCTGCCTCCACTGAAGCCCGGTGGCAAGAGCTTGATTGTGGAGCCCGACAACATGATATGGGCTCCCGTTTACGCGTTGCATTATGACCCCAAATATTTTCCGAACCCGGACAAGTTTGATCCCGAGAGATTCAGCGAGGAGAACAAGGACAATATCGTGCCCTACACTTATATGCCTTTCGGCCATGGACCCAGGAAATGCATCGGCAATCGTTTTGCTTTGATGGAAACGAAACTCCTGATAGCTCATCTTCTGCACAAATTCGTCTTCAAGGCCACCGAGAAGACCATTTATCCTGTTGTATTTGATAAAAAGCAGTTCAATTTGCAACCCGAAGGCGGATTCTGGATCGCATTGCAGAAGAGGGAAAAGTAAACGAGATGTCGCGTTTAGGAATGACTTATTCTACAATATGGCAGATGTTCAGCTGTTCGATAGACAAGATATACAGTGTGTCCCCGTTCTCGCGATATTAATTAATACGTATACTCGAACTTAAATGGATATGAAAATTCAACAGAATGTCGTGGCTTTGATAGTTTTTAAATATGAAACGTTTCAAGAGAGGATATATCACAGAAAGAGTGAGAGAGCTCTCGCATTGTACAATATACAATGATTTAAGTGCCATCATAAATTCTAATTTATAACAATAAAAATATTTTTGAATTAGTATCTCGATAAGTAATCGGATTATATTTATCTGAAAACAATTAATATATCCCATTTACATTAATAATAATACGCATATAGAAATGGTACTGAATATTGAGTGCGATGTCTGGGAGCTCGGCGAAGGTGTGATAAGTTGAATGACTTCATTCATGTTGTAAAGATAGTATCATGCGACAATTTAATGTGATCGTACATGACATCGTACTCAATATTGTGCATAAATTTTACATATGTATTATTATTTATATATATATCATACTGTTTCGAATACTTCGATAAAGTGGTTCTTTTTTGTAGGAGTGGACGCTGAAAATGCAGTGATTTTTCAAATATTTCTTTATTTCTTCTTTATTTATTTAATGTATATAAATTTAATTTAATCTGGATCAACACTTTGAAAATAATTATATTATAACAATTTCAAAATAAAAGGCGGTTAATGAGGTTCACTCGACGTGATGAGCTCTGGATTACTGTAGTCAATATTTTTTATAGAAACATTAAATTTTATATAATTCCACTCGTGCAGGCAAGCTCGTGAACATAGTGTGTTGAGTAAATTTAAGTTTTTGTAAATTTAAAAGACGCACGTTTAATAGATAAAGTACAGGTTTAGGAAAAGCACTTTTAAAATTGCATGAATTGTTGAATGTGGAATTAATTTCCAACATTAGCTGTACTTTTAGAGATTGTATGAGATAAATATTTACGATAGTTCACAATTTCTGATGTGAATTTTGAAATTTTTTATTGTTTTTATCACATAGCGAGCAATGCTTCAGTTAATTTTTGCACATATTTTCATTGCGTAAAAGCATTTTGTAATTCTGCATTTTATAACAAATTCAACATAAAATTCCACAAAAATGTCAGTGTTTTTAAATACTGTACTATATTTTTAAATATTATATGTTAAAATAAAGTTTTCAAATATTCCTATAATAGTTCTCAATCTGAAATTTGTCTCATATGAGATGCTCAGGTTTTTATTCAGAGATAGATCAAAGTTTTTCATGTGAACTATATGATATGATATGATATGACATTCGTATCTGTAAACACGATTTAACTGAAAATTTCTCAATTAACTCTGAACTCCATCTGAACTCAGTTCTGAGTATACCACTTAAGACGAGTTTCAAGCAATGACTACGAACCCAGGAGACAGTACAAAATATTTTTGCGTCTCAGTTATCAATCTGGCTTTTGTTTCTCTCATTACCTCTTATCCTCTCCGAACTATTTTTACGCACAAAATAAAATGTGGGCTTTCCGCTTTACACCTTAGCAATTGTAACTCGCACTCCGCAGTTTCCCTGTAACCGCAGTTTTCGTAACCGGACATAATTGGACGTGAAATTAAGGATTATACGTGAGTACAGGGCATTCATTAAGCATAAGATTAATCAAACAATAATTCGATGGATTAATTATCCCTCGGAAAATATCCAAACGTCCTCAGAGTAAAACATTTCTCTCAGTGAGGTTTTTAATAATTCGCTTTTCAGCGAGAAGTTGAGCACGTTGAAAACGGCTTGTTTAAAAGGATTTGTGGAAACAACTTTTTACCACGTAGTTCGCACACGTTGCTGATGCAACGGTCCGCAATGTTCCCTAGAAGCGTTTCTGTCGTTCCCCCCATTCTGCTCGTGCCTGATAAGATTTGCTGAATGCGTACATCTCTATATTTATAACATCCTATACCGCTAGCGACCGAGTCATTTGTTCTCGGTCGTGCCGATCAGTCACGATGGAGTCGTCGTTATTCTCGTCTTCTTTTGCGCTTTTGTTGGCCACTCTGGTCATTATCGGCGTGGTAAAAATCATCGCCAATATTCACTATCAGTACACCTACTGGAAGAAACGGGGTATCCCTTACATACGTACAGTCCCGGGCTTGGGAACCTCTTGGAAAGTGTTGTTGCGACGCATGAGCTTCGTCGAATACGGCAAATTCGCCTACGAATATGTACCGGACGCTAAGTACATCGGACTAATGGACATGGCCACTCCTCTGGTTTTTTTGCGCGACCCCGAGCTGATCAAGGACGTCATGGTGAAGGACTTTGAACATTTTCCGGACCACCTGTCCTTCGTGACTGAGGACATCGATCCGTTGTTAGGTAAGAACGTCTTCTCCTTGCGCGGTAACCGCTGGAAAGAGATGAGGAACACGTTGAGCCCCTCTTTCACCGCCAGCAAGATGAAAGTCATGTTCGAGCTGGTGTCGAAGTGTTCCCGCGAATTTTCCGAGTACCTCGCCGATCATCCGGAGGAGTGTTTTTCTATTAACACGAAGGAGATCTTCAGGCGCTACACCACTGACGTAATCGCCACGTCGGCCTTCGGTATAAGCGTGAATTCCATGAAGGATCGGGACAACGAGTTCTTCACGAGAGGAGTGGAGTCCACCAAGTTCGATAGTTTCTTGTCCATGTTGAAGTTCATGCTATTTCGCGCGAGTCCGCGACTAATGCGAGCACTGGGTATAAATATCTTCCCGCCAGCTACATCGCAATTCTTCAAGAGAATCGTGGCAGAGACAATTAAAGTTCGGCAAGAGCAAGGCATCGTCAGGCCGGATATGATTCAATTGTTAATGCAAGTCCGCAATAAAGAGGGCCCCAGCGTGCACGAGATGACATTGGATGACATCGTCGCGCAGGCGTTCATCTTCTTCTTGGCCGGCTTTGACACGTCCTCACAGCTGATGTGCTTCATCGGCCATGAACTCGCAGTTAACCGGGATATTCAGAACCGCCTGTGGGAGGAAGTCGAGAAGCATTTCGCCGAAGGCAACGGCGAGATCTCCTACGAGTCAGTGTCGAAGATGGTTTACATGGACATGGTGGTGTCCGAAACCCTCCGCCGATATCCACCGCTGATCTTCATCGACAGGGTCTGCGTGAAGAGCTACGAGCTGCCTCCACCGAAGCCCGGTGGCAAGAGCTTGATTGTGGAGCCCGACAACATGATATGGGCCCCCGTTTATGCGTTGCACCATGACCCCAAATATTTTCCGAACCCGGACAAATTCGATCCCGAGAGGTTCAGCGACGAGAACAAGGACAATATCGTGCCCTACACTTATATGCCTTTTGGCCATGGACCCAGGAAGTGCATCGGCAATCGTTTCGCTCTGATGGAAACGAAACTCCTGATAGCTCATCTCCTGCACAAATTCGTCTTCAAGGCTACCGAGAAGACCATTTATCCTGTTGTATTTGATAAAAAGCAGTTCAATTTGCAACCCGAAGGCGGATTCTGGATCGCATTGGAGAAGAGGGTGAAGTAAACGAGATGTCGAGTTTAGGAAGGACTTATTCTACAATATGGCAGATGTTCAGCTGTTTGATAGACAGGATATACAGTGTGTCCCAGTATTCGCGACATTAATTAATATGTGTACTCGAACTGAAATGGAGATGAAAATTCTACAGAATGTCGAAACTATAGTTGTTTTTAAATATGAAACGTTTCAAGTGAATGGACATTGCACAGAGCTCGCGCGCTCTCGCATGGTACAATATACAATGATTTAAGTGCCATTATAGATTTTAATTTATAACAACAAAAATATTTTTGCATTAGTATCGCGATAAGTATTCGGATTATATTTATCTGCAAATACTTAATATATTCCATTCTTATGAATAATAATACGCACATAGAAATGCTACTGAATATTGAGTGCGATGTCTGGGAGCTCGGCGAAAGTATGAGAAGTTGATTGACTTCGCTCATGTTGTAAAGATGGTATCATGCAGCAGCTGTATGTGATACTTATGATATCGCACTCAATATTCTGCATTAATTTTACATGCGTATTATTATTTATGCATATATGATACTGTTTCGTATATTTGGATAAAGTGGTTCTTTTTTGTAGGAGTGGACAGTGAAAAGTACAGTGATTACTCAGACATATTTCTTTATTCCTTATTTATTTATTTATTGTATATTAATTTAATTTAATCTGGATCAACACGTGGAAAATAATTATATTATAATAGTTTCAAAATAAAAGACGGTCAGTGAAGTTCACTCGACATAATGAGCTCTGGATGACTGTAGTCAATATTTAAAAAAAAAACATAAAATTTTATATAATTCCTCTCGTGCAGGCAAGCGCGTGAACTTGGCGTCTTGAGTATATTTTTTTTGTAAATATAAAAGACGCGCGTTTAAAAGAAAAAGAACATTTTTATAAAAACACGTTTAAAATTTCATAAATTGTTGATTGCGGAATTAATTTCCCACATTAGCTGTACATTTAGAGGTTGTATGAGATAAATATTTACGCTGATTCACAATTTCTAATGTGAATTTTTAAATTTTTTATTGTTTTTATCACATGATGAGCAATACTTTAATTAATTTTTGCACATATTTTCATTGCGTAAAAGCATTTTGAAATTTTGCATTTTATAACAAATACAATATAAAATTGTAGAAAAGTCAGTGTTTTTAAATACTGTACTGCATTTCTAAATATTATATGTTAAAATATAGTTTTATAGAGTAATATAGTTTTCAATTCATAGTATTCCTTTAAGAGTTCTCAATCTGAAATTTGTCTGATATGAGATGCTTAGGTTTTTATTCAGAGTTAGATTCAAGTTTTTCAGATGAACTATATGATATGACATTTGTATCTGTAAACACGATTTAACTGAAAAGCTCTCAGTTAACTCGGAACTCAATTTGAACTGAGTTCTGAATATATCACTTAAAGCGAGTTTCAAGCAGTGACTACGAACCCAAAAGACAGTACAAAATATTTTTGCGTCTCAGTTATCAATCTACCTTTTGTTTCTCTCATTACCTTTAATTCTCTCCGAGCCGTTTTTGCACACAAAATAAAATGTGGGCTTTCCGCTTTACATCTTAGGAATTGTAACTCGCACTCCGCACTTTCCGCTTTTCATAATCGGACATAATTGGACGTGAAATTAACGATTATATATGAGTACAGGGCATTCATTAAGCATAAGATAATTCGATAAAACGATAAAACGAAAATTCGATTGATTAATTATCCCTCGGAAAATAGCCAAGCGTCCTCAGAGTAAAACATTTTCCTCAGTTAGGTTTTTAATAATTCGTGTTTCAGCGAGAAGTTGAGAACGGCGTGTTTAAAAGGATTGTTGGATACGACTTTTACTACGACTTTTACTACGTAGTTCGCACGCGTGGTTTGCTGATGCAACGGTCCGCAATGTTTCCGAGAGGCGTTTTTGTCGTTCCCCCCATTCTGCTCGTGCCTGATAAGATTCGCGTTGGTGAACGCTTACAGGTCTATATTTATGACATTCTGTGCCGCGAGCGATCGAGCCATTCGTTCTCGTTCGTGCCAGTCACGATGGAGTCGTCGTTATTCTCGTCGTCTTTTGCGCTTTTGTTGGCCACTCTGGTCACTATCGGCGTGCTAAAAGTGATCGCCAATATACACTATCAGTACACCTACTGGAAGAAACGGGGTATCCCTTACATACGTACAGTCCCGGGCTTGGGAACCTCTTGGAAAGTGTTGTTGCGACGCATGAGCTTCGTCGAATACGGCAAATTCGCCTACGAATATGTACCGGACGCTAAGTACATCGGACTAATGGACATGGCCACTCCTCTGGTTTTTTTGCGCGACCCCGAGCTGATCAAGGACGTCATGGTGAAGGACTTTGAACATTTTCCGAATCATCTCACATTCGCGAGTGAGGACATCGATCCGTTGTTTGGTAAGAACGTCTTCGCCTTGCGCGATAACCGCTGGAAAGAGATGAGGAATACGTTAAGCCCCGCTTTTACCGCCAGTAAGATGAAAACTATGTTTGAGCTGGTATCGAAGTGTTCCCGCGAATTTTCCGAGTATCTGGCCGAACATCCGGAGGAGTGTTCTTCTATTAACACGAAGGAGATCTTCAGGCGCTACACCACTGACGTAATCGCCACATCGGCCTTCGGTATAAGCGTGAATTCCATGAAGGATCGGGACAACGAGTTCTTCACGAGAGGAGTGGAGTCCACCAAGTTCGACAGTTTCTTGTCCATGTTGAAGTTCATGCTATTCCGCGCGATTCCGCGACTAACAAAGGCGCTGGGTATAAACTTCTTCCCGCCAGCTACATCGCAATTCTTCAAGAGAATCGTGGCAGAGACGATTAAAGTCCGAGAAGAGCAAGGCATCGTCAGGCCTGATATGATTCAGTTGTTGATGCATGCCCGCAATAAGGAGGGCCCCAGCGTGCACGAGATGACATTGGATGACATCGTCTCGCAAGCATTTATCTTCTTCTTAGCTGGCTTTGACACGTCCTCACAGCTGATGTGCTTCATCGGCCATGAACTCGCAGTTAACCGGGATATTCAGGACCGCCTGTGGGAAGAAGTCGAGAAGCATTTCGCCGAAGGCAACGGCGAGATTTCCTACGAGTCAGTGTCGAAGATGGTTTACATGGACATGGTAGTGTCCGAAACCCTCCGCCGATATCCACCGGTGATCTTCATCGACAGGGTCTGCGTGAAGAGCTACGAGTTGCCTCCACCGAAGCCCGGTGACAAGAGCTTGATCGTGGAACCCAACAACATTTTATGGGCGCCTGTTTACGCGTTGCACCATGACCCAAAATATTTTCCGAACCCTGACAAGTTCGATCCCGAGAGATTCAGCGACGAGAACAAGGACAATATCGTGCCCTACACTTATATGCCTTTCGGCCATGGACCCAGGAAGTGTATCGGCAATCGTTTCGCTCTGATGGAAACAAAACTCCTGATAGCTCATCTCCTGCACAAATTCGTCTTCAAGGCTACCGAGAAGACTATTTATCCTGTTGTATTTGATAAAAGGCAGTTCAATTTGCAACCCAAAGGCGGATTCTGGATCGCATTGGAGAAGAGGGAGAAGTAAAACGAGTCATCACGTTTAGGAATAGCTTATTTTATAATATAATTCAGATATTCAGTTGTTCGATAGTCAGGATACACAGGATGGATTAGTTCTCACATTAATTAATATGTACATTGAACTTAAATGAAGATGAAAATTCCACAGAATATGGAGGCTATGATAATTTTTAGATAAGAAACTTTTCAAGTGGATATATCAGAGCTGAAAGTTCGCGCGCTCAGTCATGATCAATATACAATGGTTTAGGTATCATCGTAGATTCCAATTCATAACAATAAAAATATTTTTACACTGGAATCGCCATAAGTGATTATATTTATATCAGATTCTATTTTTATGCGAATAATTAATATATCCCATACATATAAATAATATTATGTATGTAAAAATGGTGCAGAATATTGATTGCGATGCTGGGAGCTCGGTGATTTTGTGACAAGTTGATTGACTTCGATCGGGTTGTAAAGATATTGTCATGCGGCAGCTTCATGTGATACTTATGACAGTTCCTTAGACATCGCATATTATATGTACTATTATATATATTTACTATATCTGAGCGCGTAAACTTTCAGCTCTGTGATTTGTCTTGAAATTGTTCTTATTTAAAAACTATTATAACCTCGACATTTTGTGTTAGAATTTTTGTCTCCATTTAAGTTCAAGTATCCTGTCATATTAATTAATGTTGCGAGAACTGGGACAGTTTGCATATAACACACGCGTGTTAGTTTTTGCTTCCGAAGACGATTGAGGGTCATATGACTCGTATATCATTGCGATGCGCAGATTAAATGACGCGTATGTTAAATGCAATACGTTATAAGTTTTTCTTAATAAGATATTTATCTATGCTTTTCGCAATTAAAGTATAGATAGCGTTTGGGTATTGTGGTTAATATAGTTGTAAAGTGTAGTACGTAGATTTTCGAGTCCGTTATAAATTAATCCGAAACGCTTACGCGTGTTTATCGTTAAATGTAATATTAAAGTGTCAAAGGAGACTTGCCATTATTAAGTGTTTAGTTCCGCACAAAAGAGAATATTGTTGTTATTTTCGTTAATGCATTTGTATATTCCGTTAATCTCGAGATATTTTTGTTTGGTCTTTAATGCTAGAATTTTGGTCATGAGTAAAATTTACTCAATCCGATTTTTTAAACATTACTGTTCTTAGAAATATTTGTTTTGTTTTTTTATTATAACTTTTTCCAGCTTCATTGAATTGTAAAAATATTAATACGTCGATATTCTTTGATGTTTTTTACACTAATTAAAAAAAGCATTAAATTTGAATTATTTTACAGAAGTTATGAACAAATTAAAATGTGTTGGGCAAAATTTATCTATGTTTAGGGTTTTAGGGTTAATATAAAAAAATGAAAATAAAATAACGAATTATCGTATTAAGTAAAATTTCATTTTTCAAATATTGTTTTTAACGCAGAAACTTTCGAAAGCATAATAAAACGTAGCGACCGTGAAATTGTTGCTGTAGTACTTGTACAATATGAATAATTTGATGACAATATAACTTGATGTTTTTTTGAATAGGAAATCTGAATATTCAAGATTTGATCTTGGTCAATGTTTGGTCCAAGGATTTTATTACGCACTACTCGTCATTGACGTCTCGCGTCAGTGATCACTCGCTCGTTAGATGACTCATCGGTTGGAATTAGATAACATGTTTGTGAGCGCGGAAAAAAACAGAATAATTCAGAGATATCTTGATGATGACTACAAATGACTGCAAAATTAATAATTTGAAAGTTAACTTGCAAATTATTTTTATATTTTATATTATCGATTTAATATTATCATATATTAATGTTGATTCAATACGTTATATTTTATGTTATTGATTCAAAATTTGCAGGTTAACCTGTTAATTTTTTTATGTTATTGATTCAATCAAATATTTTTTTTTTAATCTTTCCTTTAATCATATAGAACAACAAAGATTACAGTATGCAAGTATTTGAAACTAAATTTAATTTATAATTGTGAAGTAATCAATTAAATAAAGTATTAAATTTTAAATATTGTTCTCTTCTTAATTTTCATTTAAATTATATAAAAAAAAATACAAATAAAGAGATCTTTAAAAATAAAATTCACATATATTCAGAGAGAATTTGATAAGAAAATCGAAGTGCAATTCTCGAAATTACAAATATTAGATTGGTGCAAAAGGTTTGTCTTGATTGTTAAATAAAAGAGATGATCCTATTTCGAAGAATTAATAATTTTTACGAATGAAATGAGCAACATTGATTTAGCATATTTTTAGATATTTAACGACAACTTCATATTTTCCTTTTAATAATCAAACTTCTTATGAGAATTTAATGAAAAAATGACAAATATTTTGTACCAGCCTAACAGATTTAGTTCGTAATATACAATATAGTTGCAGTTACAGTTGCAGTTGCAGATGTTAGAATATATAGTTTTTATGATGTTGTTAAATCATAAAAAATGTGCTGAGAAGTATGTTGTTGAAGAGACTTGTTGAAGTGCTATATCTTTCAACTTTGAATTGCTGTATTCTTGAATATCTGCATGATCATCTGCAATCGATTTGCTATCAATTATACTATCAATTATACTTCCAAGAAACATCTTGAGATATTTATTTGCCAATGTTGTTTTGTAACATTAAGAAGATACGTTTTATTGCGTTATCGTCGCAGCAATGATAACGCAACGATAAAGTAATAAATAATTTCGAAAATCATGAGCCACAATCTAATCCAGTTTCTTCATCTGTGATAGCGATAAGCATTCTTTGTATTTTTTTGTTGCCGACTTGTATTATATGGAATTTGTAATAATCGAGGATCGTCGTTACCGTCCTATATTTTTATTATGTTGAGATATATATATATATATATATATATATTCTATAATATTAATTATTGCAATGTATTGTAATATTGTTACACCAATGGATAATCCAAAGCTTATCAGAATAATAAAATGTTCATCACAACAGCAACATTTGTTTTTATAGAAAAAATCCCCATTTGCATTAACAGTATGAATTTTGAGGTAATCGGTGGAACATACTCTTTATATGTTTATCTTTGAGGAAATTTAATTTAATCGGACGAGTTTTTTCGGAGAGTTTTGACTTTTTTGGTTTTCTAAGCGGACATCACACTCTTCTGTTTCGCAAGTTTGATAACACGGCGCGGCGTTTGGCGATTTTTTTCACGCCCATCGGAAATTAGCTTAAAAAAAGAAAGAGGAAATTGAAAGTTTAAACAGGAGCAACGAGGGAGCTTATTTTCGCAGGTTAATCGTTTGAAATACAAATTTGCATAGAAAAACAGCGCGAAGGGCGGCATATTCTTCCATCCATCTGCGAGTTTTGGGTGTTTCGCGTCAGACAGTTTATGGCCGACCAAGTTTCGCTCATCCCACCCATTTCCCGCTCATGTTTATGATATTTCCGCTAGTCTGCTTTTGTTACAGTGACTCTTAGACTTTCCTCCTCTTTCTTCCGTCTTCCAGCTTTCTCGTTATATTGTGCCTCCGTAGTGAAGCATGAAAGAGAAGTCGATTTTAGGAATTATATATAAGACCTTAAACTTTTACTATTATATATAATTATTATTTTACTTTTTTATTATATCATATATAAACTTACAAAATAATATGTAAGATCTTAAACTTACTATTCGTCACGAAAGTTGCATTATCTTATTTAAAAGATTCAATAAGGATTGATAGAAATACATACAAATATTCTCATTGAAATATCATATGATTATCTGAACACACTTACCATTTCTATTAGAAATTTTAATTTTTCAAATTTCAACAATATGAACAACACTGTTAAATATTGTTAACAGGGTCAAATTTGAACCAATTTCTTGAGTTAAATAATATTTAGTTATTTTTAACTATTATGTGTGTCAAAATTTACTATTTTAACACAAAACATGTGTTTAAAAAAATAACTACATCTAATCAACCCATTTAAAACAATATTAAGTAATTTTTACTAAAACAAAGGTTACATTAA